CTGTGTTACCTCTAATTAACCTTTTCTCCAGCCTGTTGTGATGAGGGGTGTCTGGGAAAGCACATGGTGACATACAAATGCCATGAGATCCAAGAAACCTTTAATTCTGAGGTTAGAGAACAGCAGCCTGGGGAATAGCCAGGATCCACAGTATACCTTAGCTGAGTGCTGAGATTTGGTGGTTTATAACTGCATCATGACCTAATCTATCTTGATCAATCTCTCTGTGTGGTTCCCCTTTATTGAGCTTCTTATATGGCTACTTTGGGGGCAATGATTAGCCTTAATCAAGACCCACGTGTTCTCTAAACCTGCAGGATTAAAATACCAGCTGATTTTCCAGTAATAAGATACAAACGTAAGTATTTCTTATCCTCAAGGATTTCAGATATATGCGTCCCTCTGTAACATTTTGTCTTATTTACGTCAATAAAGATAGCCTAGATGACAACGGTAAGTCTTCCCAACTCACTCTGGGTTCCCTCTATCTTTCAGGACGTCACTCAACGTCACTCATCATAGGTCATGTCAATAACACCTATGTTCTGGCTTGTACCTCTAGTGAAAAATCTAAAAAGCTTTCATATGTTTGAGCGTATCCTGAACTGGGGTACAAATGACCGTTTCAGTCACCTAAAACTTAGTACATATTTACCACAGAATAAGATATAGAGTTCATCTACACTTTACCTTTTCAATTTCAATGAAGCTTTTGGAAGCAAAACCAATAACTCCATGGTGATCGACATTACTTTGCCTAAATCAGGGTTACTAAACCTTGGTACTGTTGATATTTGGGGCATGGTAATGCTTTCTTTTGAGGGGCTGTCTTGTGCACTGTAGAATATTGAGCAGCAACCTTGGCCTCTGCCCAAGTACCTGGCCAATAGCAACCCCAGATATGACAAAAAATGCCTCTAGATATTGCCAAACGTCCCTGAGAGGCCTACATAAAGGTATATTTTTGTGATAGACATTGCTGAATGATAATTTTAAAAGCTTATTAGATTTGTGTAAAAATGATCAAGATCAATATTTAAGAATAGACACAATAGGTATTTTAATGAAAGCAATGGTCCTGCCATTCTTTATTTCTCACAATAAATATTTACAGAAGAAAAAAAAAGAACTGTACATTTTAAATTCTGATCATTATACAGTTTTTTTTGCAGTTGTATAAGAAAAGAATGACTCTCTTAATGACTTTTAAAAATAACTTCAATGCCTAAAGGTACAAATTATATAATAAACATTCAATAACTGGAGTAAGCTCACTTCAAAATGAAAGACACTTAGCACCCAGTAAAAGTAATGAGCAACATCACTGGAGCCAGGAGATCTGACCTGGAAATATCTTTACCATAGACTTACAGATTCACCATCCAACTTTCAATCTATGTTTTAAAAACCTGGGTGAAAGAATACATGAAAGAAAAATCTCCATGGGTTTTTGTAGGGTTAGAAGAATTTAGCCTTTGAAGAATAATATGTGAATCAGATTTCCCTTATAAGGCCTTGAAAAGCTGCATCTTGAGGTGCTATAAACAAAGTAAAATTTTTTGTTAGTAGTCAACAGCTTCAAATATTGGTTTTTATTTTTTAAAACAATGAATTATGTTCTTTTTTATAAAAGGTAAAGGCACAGTGAAAGAATGAATATTTGCACTTGACCATTTTAGAACTCAAAGTTATTCAAAAGGCAAAATAATTCAGGCGGCCAGCACCTAATTTTTCCTGTAGGTGGCAAAATGATCATAAGAGGAACCCAGGGACAGGATGCAGAATTGCTGCATTGAGGTCATGGTAGGTGACTTAAAGCTTTATTTAAAATATGGTATTTAAAGTTTTGAAATTTTTTCAAGTTTTACAGATTAAAAGATGCCTTTTGTATTGCTTTAAATTAATAAAGATTTATTTGCTGGATAGTTAGTACTAATGCTCAGAAATACATTTTTATTTTTCAGGGACTAGATTTTCAGTCTGATGATTACCTCTGAAAAGTTCCTCTCCTTTTGCACTTGTTCAACAGGTTTCACTTTATTGGATGATCCAAACAAATTGGAGGAAAAGAGGTTGTGAAACTAAAAATCTATTGTTACTTGTTCACAGCTGTGAAGTCAATATCTTACAAGGAGGAAATAAAGCCCTCCAAACTTCATCGGCTTCATGATGTTCTGATTGCCTTGTAGTGGATAGCAGAACCGTAAGCAAGGCTTTTAAGAAGTAATGGATAGTTTATGATACATATTTTGGACACCATGGTTACGGCATTTATGTGTACGAAATAAAAAGTTTGTAAATTATTACAATGTAAAAGCTAACTGCAGCCCTGGCTGGTTTGGCTCAGCGGTTAGAGCGTTGGCCTGCGGTACAGAGAGACCGGGTTCAGTTCCCGCAAAGGGCATGTACCTCGGTTGCAGTTTGTCCCTGGCCCTGGTTGGGTCGTGTGGGTGGCAGCCACTCGATGTGTCCCTTTCACGTCGATGTTTCTCTCTCTCTCTCTCCCTCCTGCTCTATCAGAACAAAAAATGAAAAACTGTCCTCAGGTGAGGATAAAAAAAAAAAAAAGCTAACTGCAGACACATAATTTTAACTAGTCTTTATAGCTTCTTTGCTTGCTTTCAAGATGGAAACATTACTCTATGTCCTAGATTATAAAGAATCAGATATGAAAAACAAAACTATCGAATAAAGACTGGTGGCAAGCACTGAACATAATTACTTGAAGAACTAAGACTAAATGGGGCATAGAGGGAGAGAGTACAGTTTGTTGTAGCATACCAATATGTTCTGTAAATATTGATAATAGTACAACTTTAAAAATAGGGGGAGGCCCTGGCCAGTGTGGCTCAGTTGGTTGAGCATCATTCCATGCACCATCCAATGCCTGGTTTAATTCTTGGTCAGGGCACAGGGCACAGGGCACAGGGCACAGGGCACAGGCCCGTGTTGCAGGCTTGATCCCCAGTAGGGGGCGTGCAGGAGGCAGCCAACTGATGTTTCACTCTTCCTCTACCTTCCTCTAAAAAATTAATAAGAACATTTTTTTTAAGAAATTTTCTTTTAAAAATAGGGAGCGAATGAGAAGAGCAAATAAAAAATATTTAATTTCTTTTTAAATATGTTTTTATTGACTTTTTTTTTTTTGGTACGTGCCCCTAGCGGGAACCAAACCCAGGACTCTGGCCCGCAGGCCAACACTCCAACCGCTGAGCCAAACCAGCCAGAGCTATTTTTATTGACTTTGTAGAGAGAGAAGGAGAGAGAGATAGAAACATCAATGTGAAAGAGATATATCCATCAGCTGCCTCCTGCACGCCCCCTACTGGGGATCAAGCCTACAACCTGGGCATGTGCCCTGACCAGGAATCGAACCAGGACCTCACAGTCTATGGGATGATGCTCCATCAACTGAGCCACACCAGCCAGGCTAATTGTTTTAATTAAATATTGGTGGTGGTTGTATTAGTACTGTTATTCTGAGACTGTTGCATGTGTAAAGTAGATAAAGAAAATGAGTGTCTGTAGGATATTCTTATTCTATTGCAGCCTGTGTCCTGAAAACTTCGATTCTCAGTATAGAATAATGGAGATACAGTTGAAATAAAAAGGTTTAGATAAAAACTCTGTTGTACCCAATTTGATTTGGAAGTATCAAAATAAAGTCATTAAGTGTTTTGTCTTTAAAAGACTAAGATATTTCCTAGCTTGACCCCAGAAACAATGGCAAATCTAGTTGCAATGAGCATGACAGTCCCGATTATGGTTTTGAGATACCATTTCTCACTTAAAATGACCAGGTTTCTTAACAAAATGGTCGATTCCAGGTCTGGGGCAGGAAACATACAAGTTGAGCCTGGAATATTTTGTCATATGAGACAGCAAGGAAGCTTTTCAAGGTTGCTAAAGTAGTGTCAAAAGGACTCAGAGACAACTTGATGAGACACCCAGTGGCCAAAGATGGGACAATTTGAGCTTTACTAGGTAACATTTAAAATATGTTAAAGTCTATGAAATACATTTGAAATAAGTTAGTTTATAATACTTAAAAAAAAAGTGATCACTAGAAGATGATAGAAAAAAAATTTTATTATCTTGAAAATTGGCAAATAATGAAAAAAATTCAAAAAATTTTTCCCTTTCCTATATGAACATTACCACTGGTTAACCCAGTCACAGATGTGGGGAAACATCTCTTTACAAAAATGTTCTAAAAAGAATAAATGATAGAAGTACAATATTCTCCAACCCACAATAAATCAATGGATCTAGGCACTGAATATTGATTTTAACTGACAAAAAGACAGAACCAGACATTATGCGCCCTCTGATGAACGAACACATCATGACCTATAGCCTTGCTGAAAGTCTGCTCAAACCTCTGGATCCATGTGTCAATATCCAGGGGACAGAGAAACATGCTGAATTGCGCCACGAGTCTACAATCAGTAAAATACAGATTGTGGGAAATTCTGTAAGTCATAAGACCAGGTTCTTCAACAGGTAAATTTTAAAAGAAAGGAGGAACATGTAGATTAAAAAGGGATGTAAAAGATATATTCATAACAATTTTAAATGGATAAGATTAAAAAAAAAAACAGTGTGTAGAGATACACACTTGGGTAATAAAGTACTAAAGAAATACAAGGAAGTGATTACTATTGAAATCAGTGTAGTGGTTACTTCTGTGGGGCTGGGGAAGAGGGCTGTGAACTATGACAGGGCACAGAGAGGACATCCAGGGTGCTCACGACAGAGTTCTAAAAGTGTGTTTCCCTATAACAATGTAAGAAGCTCTACAGTTTCTGTTTGGTTTTCAGTATTTATCTTTTATTTTATAATTTTTCAAAGGGTAAAATAAAAATAACATCAAAGCCCTTGGGTTTTCCACTAAAAATTATGGATGTGAATACTTCTACTGTATATATCAGCTGATGGTTCTTAAGAAATTGCCTACATTATAGAAATATTTCTAACTAATAAGCTACAAATATTTGAAAAATGTAACATGAAGTTCTTATGTGTGCAGTTATAAAACATAAAAGAATTAAGCATACATTCCTAAAATAAAATTAATTTTGTTACATTATGTTATACAGTTTAGTTAAATGGACTTGACTTCCAAAATTTCCCTTTTCTACCATACAAGGTTATTCATGTTATTCTATTAGTAGTTAGAACATGAGCATTGAAACGGATTTCATATTTCCTTGGATGTCCACAATTTGTTCCACTTTCCATCTTTTCTCATAGAACAAGGATTAGTTATCTTGCCCTACCATGATGGTGTTTATTAATATGTAGCATTACAAGTGTCAACCAATTTGCAAGTAAAGATCCTTTACCCACAAATCCCAAGCTTATGTTCTCTTCCTTATTAATGGCTAATGGAGACAATTTTTTGTTGTTGAACATCTAAGAAATTCAGGAATGTATAATAGATTTAAACCAAAATGAAAGCAGTTTTAAAATACAATATAACAACAAACATGGACAAACCTATAACCGTGTTGTATATTTTTTGCCCATCAAACATTGACAATTTCCCTCCACCTGTTCAAGCAGCATCTTAACAAATGGTGCAATTGTATGGTCTCCTTCCTTTTCCTTTTAATAACATTATGTGGTGTTCGAGTGATTCACATATTCCAGAAGTGACCGGTCTAATACCCTTCGGATAAGAGCTTCCTCAATTATATTAAAATCCTACAATTAAGAAAAATAGAAACATACCATCAGAGACAGTTTTCACAAACTAAAAGAGGAGGGTCATTGTAATGCCTCATTTTGCAGGAAGCTAAAGCCCTGAATTTAGTGACCTGTCCAAATTTCCACACACACAAAAAAATGTCAAAGAACCCAGCTCATTTGCTTTGGGGCCAGTCTATTTTCTATTTCATTTTATTGCCTACAAATTAACTAGTTATTGTCATAGTAAATAGTCTTGATTTGGAATTTAAAGTTTTTTATCTGAGCTAATGAGTAGCTTCTAGTCAACATTACAAATACTGGTCAGAGAGCTAGGTTCTACATAAACATGTCATATGGAGTAAAGTTAAGGCATTACCACTCGATCCACCAATCCCAGTGGTACTACTGAATATCTATCTGAAAACAAAACTCTCTTTCTCCTTGCCTTCCTATAGTTAAAATGGCATTCAAAACTTTAAGTAGCACATTCTATAAACAAAACAAAAACTATTAAGAGCCCTATCCTTTACAATCCATCTCCTCTTCCTCAAAAAAAAATTTTTTTTAAGTAAAATCTCTATTGGAAGTCCATTCTGAAACATAAAACCATAAAGACAAATAAATAAAATCCAAAGGACAGCCATGAAGAATAGAACAGCATAAGATCTGGGACTTGACACTGGTTATTTCTTAGGCAATTTATTAACCTTTGAGCTTCAGATATTTCATAGCTAAGTGAGGATAATAATACAGTACTCTCTCGATAATAGCTGTTACAAGGAATAAAATGAGACAACACACATAAAGTGCCTAGCAGAGTACTTAGTTGTTGAGGAAACAAGAAAATCAAAACAAAGAACACTGTTTCAACCTCACTTCCATATCCAAGAATATGGTTTAGTGGGTGGAAAGTATTTTCATTAACGTGGCTTCATCCTGATCAGCTCTGGATTCATACTTAGAAAGATCTTGACAAGAACAGACTGAATGTGAACAGGCAAAACTGGTAATGGAATCAACCTGGCTTTCAGAACATCTTATGAAGCTAAAACAAAGAGGAAGCCCTATGGGCTGTGAAAAATGAGAACACATAGACCAGAACCAGGCTCTGTGAAGGTCTCGTGTAATTTAGGGGCCAGAGGACATTATTTGAGAGATAGAGCAGAGACTATGAAGCCTCTGTGGTGTAGCTTATTCAATTCTTATTATTTGTTTATTTTTAATCCTCACCTGAGGATATTTTTTCCATTGATTTTTAGACAGAGTGGGAGAGGGGAAGAGAGAGAGCGAGGGAGAGGGAGAGGAGAGAGAAAGAGACATTGATGTAAGAGACACACATTGATTGGTTTGCCTCCTGCATGACCCCAACCAGGGCAGGGATCGAACCTGCAACCTAGGTACGTGCCCTTGATTGGGAATGGAACCCAGGACTCTTCAGTCCACAGGCTGACATTCTAACTGCTGAACCAAACCAGCCAGGGCTCAATTCTTACTTTGAAAAAATTTTTATGAGCTATTTCTTTTTAAGATTTTTTAAAATTGATTTTTAGAGGGAGAGGATGAGAGAGAGAAAAAATTGATGTGAGAGAGAAACATTGATCAGCTGCCTCCTACATGCTTCCTACTGGGGATCAAACCACAACCTGGACATGTGCCCTGACTGGGAATTGAATGGGTAACCTCTGAACCAGCAACCTATCAGTGCACAGGAAGGCGCTCAACCAAGTCACACTGACTAGAACTAGCTTGTTCAATTCTTCAAGTGGTTTTTATATTCCCATTTATTCTCGCCCCATCTCAAACTTGCCTAACATCTGTGCCCACACAGTGAAAATCACTTTACTTGCATTATCTCATTTAATCCTCTCAAAAGTTTCTGGAGTACTGGCTGATGTGGCTCAGTTGGTTTCGTGCCCTCCGGTACACTGAAAGGTTGACGGTTGGTTCCCCAGTCAGGGCACCTGCGGGAGGCAGCGATTGATGTTTCTCTCTCTCTTCCTCTCCTTTCCTGTCTATCTAAAAATCAATGAAAACATATTTTTAAAAAAACTTTTGGGAGTAGGTACTTTTACTCCCCTCATTTAACAAATGAACAAACAGAAGCTCAAAGATTAAATAGTCGGCCCCAGGTCACACAGTTGTGACAGAGCTGTTACTTAAATCCAGGCCAAAACCTAAACTCCTGGTATTGAATCTGGATAATCATAGTGCACAGATCAGAAAGCAAGAAGAAAATTTTCAAATGACAATCTTTAACAATTATTAAATTCTATCTTGAAATACATCAAAAACAAAGTCGTGAAATTATATGCAAATTCAAATTTAGCCATTAACATTTCATGTATTTAGATAAAAGTTAACAATAAAATATTCTATTTCAGAACATGGCTTTGCTTGATTTCCCCCCATAACAGGCTAAAAGGGACTCAGAGGACAACACATTACCCTCACATGGCAACTCATGGACCAAAATACAACAAAGACTATGTTAACTTTTTGTTTATTGGTCTCATTTCTGATCATGGAAAATACAGTCATAAGTATCAGAACTAATCATATAATACCTAATCTTTCTTGAATTTTTTACCTTAATATAATGAGAATGGTCATGAGTTGGTTTATTGAAGGGTAGGTGATGGGTATACGAGGGTTCATTGTACTATTGTTTACTTTGTGTATGTTTAATTTTTTTAAACTTATCTTTATTGTTGAATGTATTACAGATGTTCCTCATTTTTCCCCTATTGACCCCCTCCTCCCCATTCCCACACTCCTCCCCACTCCCACCCTCCTCCTGCCTTTCCCCACACTGTTGTCTTTGTCCATTGGTTATGCATATATACATATAAGTTCTTTGGTTTATTTCTTCCCATCCCCCAGCCCCCTACCCTTTGAGGTTTATCAGTGTAACAAAGAATTTGTATTATTAATCCCTTCACCTTTTCCACCCATTCCCAACCCCCCTCTTATCTGGCAACCAACAAAATGTTCTCTGTATCTGTGAGAATGTTTCTGTTCTGCTCGTTCACTGTTTGTAGATTCAATTATCGATAGATATGTATTCATTGCCATTTTGTTTGTTTATATTTTTTATCTTTTTCTTCAAGAAGACCCTTTAACATTTCATATAATAATGGTTTGGGCCCTGGCCGGTTTGGCTTAGCAATTAGAGCATCGGACTACGGTCCCGAGAGACCCGGGTTCAGTTCCCGCTAGGGGCATGTACCTAAGTTGCAGTTTTTCCCCAGCCCTGGTTGGGTCGTGTGGGTGGCAGACACTCAATGTGTCCCTTTCATGTCGATGTTTCTCTCTCTCTCTCTCTTCCTCTCTCTCCCTCCCACTCTATCTGAACAAAAAAATGGAAAAATGTCCTCGGGTGAGGATAAAAAAAAAATGGTTTGGTGGTGATGAACACCTTTAACTTTTTCTTATCTGGGAAACTCTTTTATATGGCCATTGATTCTAAATGACAGCTTTGCAGGATAGAGTAATCTTGGTAGTAGGCTCTTGCTTTTCATCACTCTGAATATTTCTTGCCACTCCCTTCTGGCCTGCAAAGTTTCTTTTGAGAAATCAGCTGACGGTCTTATGGGAACTCCCTTGTAAGTAACTAACTGCTTTTCTCTTGCTGCTTTTAAGATTCTTTCTTTGTCTTAAACCTTTTGGATTTTGATGATGATGTGTCTTGGTGTGGGCCTCTTGGGGTTCATGTTGTTTGGGACTCTCTCTGCTTCCTGGACTTGTATGTCTGTTTCCTTCACCGAGTTAGGGAAATTTTCTGCCATTATTATTTCAATTAGATTTTTGATTTCTTGTCCTCTCTCTTCTCCTTCTGGCACCCCCAAGATGAGAATGTTGGTATGCTTGAAGTTGTCCCAGAGGCTCCTTACACTATGCTCATTTTTTTGTATTCTTTTTTCTTTTTGCTGTTCTGATTGGGTGTTTTTTTGCTTCCTTATATTCCAAATTGATGCTTTGCTTCTTGGCTTTACCTACTCTGCTATTGAATCTGTGTAAATTATCCTTTATTTCAGTTAGTGCCTCCTTCATTTCTAACTGTGTATCCTTCATTTCTGACTGCTCCTTTTGTATGCTTTTGAGGACCTCACTAAGTTCATTTAAGTTCTAAGTTCACTGAGCATCCTTATAAGCAGTGTTTTGAACTTTGCATCTGTTAGGTTGCTTATCTCCATTTCGCTTCATTATTTTCCTGGAATTTTGTTCTATTCTTTCATTTGGGATCTGTTTGTTTGTCTCCTCATTTTGGCTGCCTCCCTGTGTTTGTTTTTATGTATTACTTAACGAGAGGTATGGGGCTAGCTGAGACCAGATGCTGCTTGTTTGAAAGAATTTAGGAAAACCTGAAGCAGGATCCAAGACAGGTATATCCTATGGTTAAGCAACTGCCAACAGCTTGGGTGGGCCTGAAAGTTGAATGGGGCGGGGCCTCAGGGAATCATCAGGGCGAGGCAAACAGTGTGAGCCAGGTTGCTGGAGTCCCAGATATTGCGGTTGTCTGCCGCCACAGGGGAGGACTCACCAAAGGAACAAAGGCCTCTGACAGCTTGTTTTTCCAAGAGAAAACTGCCTCTCCAGCTCTCGCTCCAAAGCTAGACAACTTAGTTCTTCCCCATATGTCTCTGGTGCCTTTCAAGCTGCCTCCCCCATGCTGGAGACTGGAGGGAGCGAGTCCAAGTAAGTCTGTGTTCAGGCCCTTTAAGAGGAGCTGTCTGGGGTCTCCCATAGCCTCAGTTCCTGCTGGTTTTACAGCCAGAAGTGATGTGGATTGTGGGAGACATTTTGCATGGCATCCATTTTGCTAAAATCTGCTCTGCCATCTCCTGCCCCAAGGCAGGATACCTCTGTATACAATGTTTCTGCATTCCTTTAAGTAACCATTTACTCAGCCAGTTATGCTCTGTTTATCTTTTGTTCCACCCGGGATATTTATGTGATATTTACCTGAAATTGCTTCGTGGTGGTTACCACAAACTTATTGCTTGGCAACAAATGTTCTTGTTTTTCTGCTTCTTGCCCTATATATACTGTGGATCTCCCCAGAACAAATGAGAATTGATCAGAGACCTGTCTTGTCTCCATTTCTCGTGTCTCTTGTCCCTCCTCATCCTCACTCCCCCTCTAGAGTCCTCGTTGCTGGACCTGCGGGACGGGTCAGTGGATTCTCTTCCTGGCACTGGAACCATGAGCTGGATGCCTGGTGCGAGACGGGGACCTGTCACTCCTCAGAGAGGACCTTCCCAGCCAAGGTGTCCTCCTGATTTTTATCCACCACACGTGGGTGTGGGACCAGCCCATGGGGCCTCCGCCCCTCCTACCAGTCTCAATGTGGTTGCTTCTTTAATTTCATAGTTGTAGGACTTCCATTCAGCTTGATTTCAGGCGGTTTTGAATGATGGTTGTTCTGTAGTTTAGTTTAACTTTTATCTGTTTAATATTTTTTCATAATAATTTTTTAAGTTTATAAAAGTTCAATAAATGAGTTGGTGTTTTATAAAATTTAAATTAAAAATAATGCCTGGGTGTTACTACACTGATAATGTCATATCTGTTAACTACCATTTAATGTACTCTAAAAACAACTGGTTGCAGAGCAAACTCTGAGTCATTTCATTACTGATGTGATTTCACTTCAGCTATATAAATTTTCAATTTCATAAACATTATAACTATATATAGGGAGGGAATAAAGTAGAAACTAAAATAATCTGAACATGAAGTCTGGCTCCTTATACAATGGATAATTATATAGAACACAAAGAAAATAATTTTGTCTAAGGCAGGTAACTACTTTAATATTAACAGCCAAATTTATAAAACATGGCATTTTTATGATTTCTTACTTAATATTAATACTTAACACTTTGGTTATACACACATTTTTCCTCTATAATTTTATTCGCTTGGATTAAAAAAGTAAGCTTAACACAGATAGCATAAAGACAATGCAAAAGTTTAAAAAAATGTATATATATACTTACTAAGAAATCCTCATAGAGCAGAGTGTGATTGGCTTGCAAATGTCTTATTAAACTGCCATTAAAGCTGTTTGGATTCTCATTAGGTATTAAATGGCAAAGTGGGCAGAACTGGAAAATATAAGACCAAGAGTTTAAGAAAGAATTTAAAAATTAAATAACCTACTACCTAGCCGTAAGAAAAGATGAAATACTGCCATTTGTGACAACATAGATGGACCTTGAGAATATTATGCTAAGTGAAATAAGTCAGTCAGAAAAAGCTAAGATCCATATGATTTCACTCATACATGGGATATAAAACTAAAATTCATAGACACAGACAACAATATGGCTACCAGAGGGAAGGGGGTTGGGGGTATTAAAGGCTAAAGGGAGATAAATATATGGTCATGGAAGATGATTTACTTTAGGTGGTGAGCACACAATGTAATATAAAGGTCATATATCATACAAATCTATATTTAAAACCTATATAGTTTTATTAACCAATATCACCTCAATAAATTTAATTAAAAATTAAATAGCTATTCAATAAAGTGAATTTTAACTTGATAAATCTATTGGCCATACCTCCGTATTATGTTTTAAAATTTCATAAACATTAAAGCAACATTAAATATATAAGATTGCATTTATTCTTATATGCATTTCTTGTATATTATTGTATAGCTGCTATTTTCATAGTTATCAACTGATTAATTAAACGATATTACAGTTAGTAGCTCCGCTGTAATGTACTTAACTAGTTGCCTACCTCTTGAAATAAGTTTTTTTGAATTTGGATATTTTGTTATTGCAAATATTACCTATAGTGTTTATCTTTTGGGGGGATTATTTTCTTAGGATGAATAACCAGAAATGGAGATTTGTAGTCAAAGGTTATGAACATGTATGGAACATAATATCTATTGCTCTAAAGTTTTGTTTTTTTATTACCACCAGCAATACAGATTATAACACACCAGCATCAATTATTAGTATTTACATATATATTCCTAATTTAATAGCCATTAATAGCTCTTCAAAAAAAAACTTTAATTTTGAAATATTTATAAACTCACAAGAAACTGCAAAAATAGAGGTCCCACATCCCATCACCCAGTTTTCCCAAACGGTAGCATCTTACATAACTATAGTACATTATCTAAATCAGGAAATTTGATTGCTGGTCATATGGTGAATGTTACAGTTAACTTTGTAAAAAACCGCCAAACTATTTCCAGAGTAGCTATACCATTTTACATTCCCACCAGCAATGTGGGAATTATCTAGTTTTTCCTCATTCTTGCCAGCATATAGTACTGTCAATAGTTTTTTTTTAATTTGTCATTTTGACAGGTGTGTAGTGGTATCTCGTCATGGTTTTAATTTTCATGTCCCTAATGGCCAATATAAGTGACTATTTTAACATATACTACTTTATTATATTTTAACCTAGGTTGTTTTTTAATTCCATTTCTTCATGTATTCACTTTTTAAAAAAAATATGTATTGATTTTTTTTAGAGAAAGAGGAAGGGAGAGATAGAAACATTGATGCAAGAGAGAAACATGGATTAGCTGCCTCCTGCACTCCCCCTACACTAGGGACAGAGCCCAAAACCCAGGCATGTGTCTTGACTGGGAATCGAATGGGGACCTCTCAGTCCATAGGAGGACCCTTAAACCACTGAGCCACACCCACTGGGCATGTATTCACTTTTTAAAATATGAAATGCACAATCATTACTGAGTGCCAGTTACGCAGTACACATTAAATTAGGTGGTATTCTCACCTGATCCTCATAACAACCATTATTTTTCTTATTTTGTTGAGGAACCCAATTTCAGGGAGGAAAAAAATCAGCTTGACTTTACACTACTATTATATAGTATCAGAACTGGAAGCTTGGACTCTAATAAACAATCCAATGTTCTTTCATATAACAGTATCTAATTTATCAGTTTGGATAATGTTTTTCTTTCCTTTTAAATGAGGTCCTTATGTAATTGTTTTCTTTCTTATTGTTTTATGGGGGGAAGGGATCCCAGTTTCAGTATGCTTCATTTATTTAAATAAAGTCCATTTATGAATTTTGCTGTACTCCATTAACCCTTATGTCTTATTTTAAATAAAATTATAACATTTAAATTACTATTGCTTTATAATCATGTATGACTTTCTAATACACTAGCTATCTTGGTTAAATGTCAATACTGGCACTTAATCCAAGATAGCACTTATTCTACCCTGGGACCCCTATGTAGTAATGAGAAGAACTGAGCCCAATTAATATTTTAACAGAGAAGAAACAATTGTTATGTGGTATAGAAACTCTCACTAGTTATAGGAATGTGTTCATTCAACACTTGTTATTGTGCCTTTACTATGGAATATGGAATCCAGTGAGATACTTGTGTTGCATGGCCTTTGAGGTCAGAGAGCCAAGAGGCCAAAGCCTAGCACCAGCTCTTACTAGCTGTCTGACCTTTAGCACTCAAGTTTGCTCTTCCGTGATATGGAGATACCACCACCTACCTGGGAGAGTTGTTATGATATTTAGAGATAATATCCTTAATGGTATGGGTACATATTAGGCATTTAATAAATGCCATATATTTACTACCATTTGATCCCTATCTTTAAATAGCAGGAGTTCCCTGAAAGAGGTAACAAGTGTCCCATTCATCCTTGCATTCTCAGTACCTGGAAAATAGTTTCCAATTTCATTCCAGCCTCCCACTGACTTAACCTTAGCAAGTAATTAATCTTAATCTGTAAAAACAAGAATTATCTCTGTTTTGCAGAGCTCTTGGTAGATTTAAAATAGTACATCATGTAACATTATGAGGTTCTCTGAACCTCAGTTTTTCATTTGTAAACTGGGGATAATAATCACACTTATCTCACAGGACTGTTGTGAGGACTATCTGTACCTATTTATCATCTATATACCTAATATTGTGTTTTGATCTCCTCTGCTTCTCAAAAGAATTTTATGGGGGGAAAAAAACACACCTAAAACCCAAGTTAAAAAATAAACTCATATATATAAAAATGACACACATATACACATATAATGTGTACATATGTCTATGTACAATATATATGCACATATACATATAAACAGATATAACAAAAAAGTAAACAAAATTCAAAATAATCTTCAAGATATAATTTTATTATCTGTTAAATCTAGGAAATTGTAAAATAAATGTATATAATCTTGGACAGGTTAAGGTAAAAGTGGTTTATCATAAATTGCTGATATAAATGGACTCATATTTTTTGGAATGTATTTTATAAGTATATTTTAAGAGTTATTAAAAAATTTGCATTCTTGGTCCCAGAAATATCAATCTAGAAAATTTCATTCTAGGAAAAAAATCCAATAAAAGGAGACATTTAAATGTATAAGAATATGAATTCAAATCTTAAAAATTGGCAATAATCCAGGTGTTCAAAAACAGTAAAATGGCCAAGTGAATGATGATGTACCATCCATCATCACCCTGCTTTACCTCAAAACTATACAGAAATAAAATTTATAAAATTTATAAAATCCACACTGCAAAGTAGAACTAAAATGCCAGGTTGAAAAGAAAAAAGGCAGCATTCACTATGAATCTAGAAAATGATGAGCAATATGTATATTTAATGTACAAGCATGTGGATAAATATGAAATAAACATAGATTAATGAAGATGAATGACTTTCTATTTTTCTTAGTAATTCTTATCTGTTGCAATTCAACACTTTTTACATATTGTTACCATAATCTTGACATAAATTATCCTTTATAATATATCTACAAATAGAAGCCTATCAAATGAATTTTCTAATGTATATTGAATTTAGACATTGCAGAAATATACAGTAACAAAAATCCTTACCACAGGTCTCCTTTCTGATCTGTGATGAGTAATACAATGATCCAATAAGCTGTCTTCATTCAATTCCTTCTGACAAAATGGACATACACACCTGAAAATTGCATAAAATACAAACATTACTAAAAGTATTGGCAATTAGACAGTAGTCACTTCACTAGAGGTAAAAAATAGAATGTAGGTAGATCTAGTTTCCAGACCTCCTTCTTTCTGATTTTATATTATTTTTCCCATCCTGATGATGGTCTTGGTACCTACATTTTATCTCCTGAAAGATGTAAATGTGTATCCTTACAGGGACAGGGTAGAGAAACAGTTCTAGTACACTTGAAGCACCATAAACTGAGAAACTGAGGATCAGTCCACCCACCTGTCCCTGGGTTCCTTTTTCTGTCACTTTTACATCTTCCCTTTCCTAATTTTGACTTAGGTGTTATTTGTCCTCCAACTCTACTAGCATATATATAGGGTGGGGCAAAATTGGGTTTATAGTTGTTCATATGGTAAATAACAATACAAGCATAAATTCTGGCCTGGGTTGCTCAGTGGTTAGAGCATTAGCCTGCGGACCAATGAGTCACAGGTTCAATTATGGTCAAGGGCACGCCTTATTTGCAGTTTGTCTTGGCCCTGGGGTCTTGCGGGAAGCAACCAATTGATGTGTCCCTCTCACGTGGATGTTTCTCTCTCTCTCTCTCTCCCTCTCCCTCCCACTCTATCTAAAGATAAATAGAAAAATATCCTCAGGTGAGGATTAAAAAAAGAGAATAAAGTCTGTAAACCTCTCACGTTCTCACAACTGTAAACCTACTTTTGCCCCACCCTGTATAACTACAAGTGTCAACACACATAATTAGTATCCAGCAAAGAATGAAAATGACCTACACTACCCTGTTAAGTCCTTACACTTAAGGGTATTTGTCCCTTTTATCTGTGCTATCCAATACAATAGCCATTAGCCACAAGTGTCTGTTGGGGACTTGAAATATTGCTAGTCCAAGATGAGATATGCTGAAGTGTAAAATATACTTTGAATTTCAAAGGCTTAATCTAAAAATGTAAAATATCTCAGTAACTTTTATATTACACGTTTAAATAATAATATTTTGGTTCTGCTTCAGTTAAATGAAATATATCAAAATTGATTTCACTTGGCTACTAGAAAATTTTAAAGTGCATTATGTCTTGTGCATTCTTTGTTAGACAAAGTGCTGCCTTATATTCTTAGGGACAATATGGGAACTTGGAATTGTTTGCTCACTTTCCATATAGCTATAACTTCCTACTCCCCAAGACTTATACTTTAGACAAGCTCTCTGCACAAGAAATTAAAAAAATTGAATCATGTAGTAAATTCTTTACTAAAGCAAAGATTTCTTTCTTAATGCATATCTATCTTGTAAGATTGATTAATTGCCAATCCTTCTCATTTTCTGTTAATTCTTTATAATTTAATTCTAACTAGCAGAAGAAATTAGGTTTTATATTAGCTTTAATATATTTTTAATTTTTCATAAAGCCTACCAACCTTACAATCAAATACACATACTTTCTCAACCCATTTGTTATCCTTCCTTCGTATTGGTCCTCGTGGTCAATCTAACAGAATCCGTACTCTGCTTAGAGCTCAAATACTCATTTAAAATTTATACTGTCATGCCAATCCTATAAAACAAGTACATTTGCAAAGCAATCTCTAGAAAAACAAAAGGAATAGAGCAGTCATTTAAATTCCGGGTTAAAAAGTATATGCTATATTTTGTGTGTATTTTCTTAAAATAAGCAGAACTAACATTTTCCTTCAGAAGAGAGAAATAAATCACACTCCTACTGAATACCAGTATCAGATAACTGAGTTTATAAGCAGAGTTAATGGTTTCAAAGTCACCATTTCTTTAGTAGAGAGAGACAGAGACTCCAAACTTTGTAATTATTCTTGCTATCAGGATAATAATGACCCAGATTTCTTTTCTTTGTTTAAAGAAAAAAAAGTAGTTAGAGATCAATATCCTCCACTGTACCTACTAGCAACCTCCACCCACCTTCCAGCCCCCAAAAGAATAGAATACAGGATGCCTGTTTGAGGCTGTACTTCCTTGTTAGAATATATACAGAGATGTGACTTCCTACTTTCTAAGAAGAAACCAGCAAAATGAGACGGAATGAGCCAAGGAACTGAGCAGTGGTGATGGAAAAGCAAAAATAAATAACCTCTTACGATCTACTTCAGGACTCTATTAGTCAGAAAACAGAGCCCAGCAGAAATGAGCAGTTTGCATTCTGTTTTTGGATCTTCTTTAATACAAACTTGTCTAAGGACGTTTCCCTAATATCTCCAGTGTTTAGCTGGTTCCTTCAATTCAAAGTAGAGAGAGCAAAATTCTTTCATAATTATTACTATTCACAAACGCTTACCAATAACAGGTATTATGATTAACAGCCTACACATAACAGCATGTATATTTTCACAAGAAAAATGTTACAATTTCCAGCCCATTAAATTCTATTTTTTCTCTTCTGTAACATAACATTTAAAAATTTTTCAATTACATTCTATATTATTTTGTATTAGTTTCAGCATTATGGTCTTTACAGACATATCAAAGTTGGCACTAACTATACTCTATTGAAACAAACCTTGTTGCTGTTTCCCCCAGTTCTTGTAGTGGTCCATATTTATCTATGTACTTCTGACAAGTTCTTATGTGTGCCCGCATTTCGCTGAGGCAAACCTATACAAAAGCAAATTCAAAATAAACTCACTGTTGAAAAGGGACTCAATGAAGTCTTATGTGACCCAGCTTTATTACGTTCATTATTTCAAATAAGGTCATGGTGTGGGGTCAACTGATTTTAAAAGAATGCATTCATGAAAACAGTACATTATCAAGAATAATACTAGTTTTAAAGTTCTCTAATACTTTAAAGACCCAAATGTTGAGTTCTTAAATTTGTTTCTCCTGGAAAGCATATGTTCTTTAAAGTGGAAAAATGTATATTAACTCAAATTTACTTTTTGGGGGATGCCATTACATAAATTGGTAATAATAAGAAGGAAGTGGGAAAGAAGAAGGGAAGAGGAAAAAAGAGAAAGAGGGAGGAAGGGGAAAAAAAGTATAAAAATAAAAGAGAGAGAGACAGAAGGAAAGGAAAAACAAAGAGAGATAAGAAGAATAAATGGATGGATTTTAGAACTGTCCACACTTAGTAAAAAGAAACCCTGTGCCTCGGGGATAGATATAAATACCATGGCTTTATAACATATCTAGTCGTATCACATGAATTCACAATACACAGTATACTTAATGGCCCCATTAAGAGCACACATGAAAGACAGCTCTTGCAGTCCATTTTTATCAAGGCCAAATAAAGAGCCCTTGTTCCTCCAGATATACATTCAGAGATGCTAACCATGAGGGATCTGTTGCTAAATAACACATATTCTGCTTGATGCTTCATTAGAAACTCTGATAAGATCTCGTGCTAAAGGAAGCTTTCACAGCTGCGGTAAAGTGGTTGGCCTTCCCTGCTTCACTCTGCCCAAGCTACCGATGTTAAACCTCAAACTTGAAATCTGTCATGTCAAGGAAACAGTTATAATTGCTTAAGGAAATACCAAAAAGAAAAGCAAACCCTTGCTTTATGAATATCCATCTAAAAGATGTATAAACTAGGACTGATCTAGGTAGCCGTCTTGACACCCAACTTTGACCATTAGTGCGCTCTCATCTCTTCACTAGTTGTGTTAAAAGTTTTTTTTCCTTTTTGTATTCCTTTAACAACAAAGTCAAGCATTCCTCACGTAAATTAGCAATTTGGGGACTATATACTGACAAATGAATTGATAAATTCATGCACTGGCTATTCTAGAGACAAAATTATGTAAGACACTGTAAGAGATGACAGAAGAAACATAAGCCACTGTGTTTGATCCAAAGGTGTTTCTAATCTAATGGAAAGGGGGTGGGGGGAGATATGTAGACAAGTAGAGAAGAAACTGTTTGATACTGGGGACTGGAATACGAAAGCCAGGCCTCATGGAATGGAGCCCTGTCTTGGACTCTCCAGATCAGGAAGGGGATTTCCTCCCAGAAAAACTGAGAGAATGTTCTTGTTTCTGACACACACCAAAGGTGGGATAAAAAAAAACCAGATGAGCCCTGGCCAGTTTGGCTCAGCGGTTGAGCATAGGCCTGCGGACCAGAGAGTCCCGTGTTTGGTTCCAGCTAGGAGCATATGCCACAAAAAGAAAACAAAACAAAAACCGGATGACAAAGTAATATCCCGAGTTTGACTTGGGTCATGTTAAATTTTATATAATGACAAAAATATCAAAGTAAAACTAAGCAATAGTCTATTATGGTGAATGTAAAAATCTTCTGATTTTGAGCGTTTCTCGTTTCAGACTATGCTAAAAGCCGTATGTGTTTTATCATTTACCTTTAAAACCATCCTGTGAGACAAACACTACCTTTTTCCTTATCTTCCAAAGGTAAACAAAAACTTAGATTAATAACTTGCCCCAAATCACAAAGAATAAGTGAAAGAATTAGTGTTTGATCCCAGTATGTCTGACTCCAAAGACTATGTATATATTCTGTAGTCAAGCAGCCATGAATAGATTGCTGAGTCTTACATAAATATATATTTAAAAACAAAAAACAAAAAAACAAACCACACAGTACATAATCTGTCTTTTGATCTCTATCTCTACACTGGTAGACCTAAATATCTCCTACTTAGCAGTTCAAACTTTAACATATCTAAAATTTAACTCTGTGGATTCCTCTCCAAACCTGATCCCCATTTTAACACCTTCAGAAACCTCACAGGCATTTTTGACACTCTCTCCCACATGCCATCAATTACCAATTTACTTTGATTCTTTCACCTAAATACACCTTGGAAAAAACCTCTTAATTCATACCTAACACTATCACTCCAATCCAGCTTCCTTACCTGATCCATCCTGAGAGCCACTTAACTGGCTTCACCAATCCTGCTTTTGCCCCCTCCAAACCACTGTCCACACACTGGCTAGAGTAATATCCTAAAAATATAAACCGATCAAAAGCTTACACTTTTACTATGATTCATGATTGCATTTGAGATAAAATTTAGACAAAATCTTTTGCACAGCCTCCAAGACCTCATATGATCTAACCATGCTAGCATAGTACCAAAGAATGAAAATCAAGAGAGATAATAATGCAAAGTCTGGAAGATCACAGGTGCAATTTTGCCACCACATTTGATAATAAAGCTATTCATTGGTGGGCTGCAATAGAGTGGCAGGAGTGGAGGACACATAACAGAGGGTCACGGGAGTCATGGGAAGAGAGGAAATGAGGTGGTCAATGTAAGCATTTGTTTGAAAAATTAGGTAATGATAGGAGTCAGGTGACCATTTTCCTGTAGCTTACATGTATGAAATTGGAGAAAGCCTAGGACAATAAACTTTAGGAAGTTGGGGTAGGATGCGGTCAAAGGCATATAGATGAAATGATTAGGTGCTTAACAATTTTCTCAGCGGTGTAACCATTAGCATAGGCAGGGTCACTTACCAGGGTGTCACACTCGGTGCAATTCTGGTACTCCGATTTCATTCTTTTGGCTACATCCGTTGCTGGAACTCCTTCTGAAGGAAGATATGCCCGGCAGTAAGGACAGGTCCACTTATTGTTCTTTAGACTGGTAGCAATACAGGAACGGCAGAATCTACCCGAAACAAACCAAGGGTACATTCCTTTCCTTAAAAGATATAACAAAGCCACCCCATGGGTTCATTTGTGTAGATTGCATTTTAATGACACCTTGTATACTATGAGCTGTACTACCAAATTAAAGGTTCATTTGCACCTTGCACTGGTCAGCCTCTTCTCTTCCCCCAGAAAGACATCTCAGGGGTCACATGTTCTTACCACACACATTGCACACAATTAAACAAAAGAACACAGACAAAGTGGTAAAATAGTATTCCTATAAATGGAGTTAAAATGATAATCCAAAGGATATCTACTGTATTCTTTCAATTCTTTAATCCGATTTTACCTAAAAATTTTTGGGAAAAGTAGGTGGTTGCTCTGTAGAATTTTGGGCATTAGATAAGAAAATAGCAAGTTGAAGAGGTAAATATTCTAGATAACTTGGAAGTTTTTATAAAATAATTTTAAAGCAATCCTCAGACTTGGAAAATTATCTAATCCAAATTACCACTATTAAGAATGTCCTTCAGCCCTGGCCGGTTTGGCTCAGCGGTTGGAGCGTCGGCCTGCAGTACAGAGAGACCCGGGTTCGGTTCCCGCTAAGGTCACGTACCTCGGTTGCAGTTTGTCCCCGGCCCTGGTTGGTCGTGTGGGTGGCAGCCACTCGATGTGTCCCTTTGCATCGATGTTTCTCTCTCTCTCTCTTCCTCTCTCCCCCTCCCACTCTGTCTGAACAAAAAAATGGAAAAATGTCCTCGGGTGAGGATAAAAAAATAAATAAATAAATAAAAAAGAAAAAAAAAAAGAATGTCCTTCAGCCCAGCTGGTGTGGCTCAGTAGCTGAGCATCAATCCATGCATCAATAGGTCTCCTGTTTCATTCCAAGAGTACATGCTCCAGTTGCAGGCTCAATCCCAGCAGGGGGTGTGCAGGAGGCAGCAGATCAATGTTTCTCACTCATCCATGTAACTCTCCCTCTCTCTTCTTCTCTCTCTAAAGTCAATAAAAATACATTAAAAAAAAAAAAAGGAATGTCCTCCGATTCTCTGGTTTATTTAAAGACGATCATAGTAAAATCTTAACAGAATTCACTGAAGATCTTGACCTATTTATTGGGGCTTTTGAAGGCTAACTGCACACGGAAGTAAAAATAAACATTTAGGTAGGTTATACACATTAGCATGATCTGATAACTTTTTTTTTCTTTATTGATTTTAGAAAGGGAGAGGGAGAGAGAGATAGAAACATTGATGAGAGAGAGCATTGACTGGCTACCTCCTGCATGTCCCCCACTGGGGATTGGGCCCATAACCTGGACATGTACCCCGACTGGGAATGGAACCGGCAACCTCTTGGTGTATGGGTCGATGCTCAACCAGTGAGCTACACCAGCCAGGTGATCTAATAACTCTTTTTTTTTTTTTTTAATTCTCAACCAAGGATATTGTTCTATTTATCTTCAGATAGAGTGGGAGGGAGAGAGAGAGAAACATTGATGTGAGAGGGACACATCGACTGGTTGCCTCCCACACAACCCTGACCAGGGCTGGGGAGCAACTGCAACAAGGTACATGTCCTTGGCTGGAATCAAACCCAAGACGCATTGGTCCATGGGCTGGCGCTCTACCACTGAGCCAAAACGGCCAGGGCCTATCTGATAACTCTTAAAGTATTCAGCATGTAATATCTATGTGGGAGTATTAACACATGGGAAAAGTTATTAAGCTTTTACAATTTTAAGTATACTATACATATGGAAAAGTTCATATATCACAGGTAATTTCACAAACCAAATGCCTAATTATACCAGCCATTACTGATTCTTTTTTTTTTTTTTTATCCTTGCCTAAGGACATTTTTCCATTTTTTGTTCAGATAGAGTGGGAGGGAGAGAGAGAGAGAAACATCGATGTGAAAGGGACCCATCGAGTGGCTGCCACCGGCACGACCCAACCAGGGCCGGGAACAAACTGCAACGGAGGTACGTGCCCTTTGCGGGAACTGAACCCGGGTGTCTATGGACCGCAGACCAACGCTCTAACGGCTGAGCCAAACTGGCCAGGGCTGATTCTTAAAAGTACTCTCTTCTGCATTTGTTATAAAAAAAAAAAAATTCTTACTAGTACACAGAGGAGTCTGCCATTGGCATTGTGCATGAGGCATTTCCTTGATGTTGTTTATGCCTGCCCACATCCTTTTCCCCTTCTTCTTGCAATAGCATCTTGACTTTGTTCTGCAGGACCTATACCTCTTAGATACAATCTGGTGCATATAGGAGGCAATTAATAAATGTATCTCTCTCACATGATGTTTCTCTCTCTCTCCCTCTTCTTCCCTCTCTAAAGTCAATAAAAATTATCTATCTATCATCTATCTATCTATCTATCTATCTATCTATCTATCTATCTAATTTTTAAGGGCATCCAAATTCAGTGTGAGGAAAAGGTTATATTTCATTTATGATTAAGTAAACTTAAGCGCACTGAACAATTTGAAATAAAATAAAAGGCTGAAGAGAAAAAACTTTTAGAAAATGAACTTGTGCAGTTTTAGCAAGAACAGTTATTCCATGGTTATAGTGAGGACTTTATGAGAGAATGCATACATCTGTACAAATCTCGCTAGACCCAATCATATAAACATGCATTCACTGGCAGGCAGCATTTGACATGCCAGAGATGAAACTGTGGCAGTGCTTAAGGTCCCTGCTCTCAGAGTTCTGTAATGGGGAGAGAGGAAATGGGCAGGTAAACAAATAGACTGGCAAATGCTTGAGAATAAAATGGTTGACAAAAAAAAATAGAGTGGGTGGGGCAGAGGAAGCAGGTAGATGAGTGGTCCCTGAGATGATATTTGAAGGCACTAGTCTAGGGAAGATCTGGGAATGGTTTTCCAAGCTGCAAACAAAAGGTACAAAAGATAGGGACCATCTTGCTGAGGTATTGAGAGCCAGGTAATTGGAGATGTGTGGGAGAATAAGTAGGCAGGAGACAAACCAAAGAGCCATAAGTAAGAGTGATGGGAAGGCATTGGGGCATTTTAAGTAAGAGGGTGACATGGCTTGATTTACATTATATAGATCACTGGTTCCTGTGTCAAGAATGGATCACAGAGGTGCAAGAGCCACAGTGAGGAGCTCAGTTTTAAGTCAATTGTAATAGTTTAAGACAGGAAGGTGGCTTAGACCACCAGCAAAGTAGCATTAAACAGTGCAAGGGGACAGGTAGATTTAGGATTTATTTTGGAAGTAGAGGTAAAAGAACTTATAGTATACTAAATGACAGCAAATATATGCCCCATTATGCTAAGTGAAAGATGCTGAACACAGAAGACTTACTTACAGTATGATTCCAAAACTTAGTGACAGAAAGCAGATGAGGATGCCTGGGACCAAGGATTGGAGGAGGGGACTGCAAAAAATTCCAGGGAACCTTATAGGGTAATGAAACTGTTAGTTCTTGCTTGTGATGATGGTTATAGGATCGGATATAATTACCAAAATTCATCAACCATACACTTTGTGTGAATTGTACTGAATCACTTCAATAAAGCTAGAATACAATAAAACAAAACAAAAAATTCCCAGGCAACACTGCATGAAGATCACAGAAATATATACAGCACAGAAACATTCAGAATCTTGTAGGCCTCCCTCCTATAGCGCTCTAGGCAAATAGGAACTACTCAGTAAATTGAAATAACTAAATCAGTGTGACAAATTACCCAAAGCAAAATTTTCTGGGCAGGGCCCAATGCTCCCATTAATAAATAAGTCTTGTGTACTTCTGGAAAAACCCAAGGGCTAGACATGGACACAAACCGAAGGAGTTAAGAGATTCCTAGTTGTCTGCCCCTCCCCCACTCCATATTATGATTCAGAATGATGAATTACAAAAGACATCAGAATGAGGATTTAAATTTTTTAATATATTTTTATTGATTACAGAGAGAGGAAGTAAGAAAGAGAGAGGAAGAGAAACATCGATGTGAAAAAGAAATATCAGTTGGTTGCCTCCCACATGTGACCAGGCATAGAACCAAAAACCTGGTATGTGCTCAGAACTGGAATCGAACCCCCACCTTCTGATTTACAGTGGGGCAATCCAACCAACTGAGCCACACCAGCCAGGGTAGAATGAAGAGGATTCAGGTGAAAGAAACCGAGGATGGAAATAAATTGCATATTTTAAAAAATATTTGTCTGTATCTTTTATTTATTTATTTTTGTTTATTAAATGTATTGGGATGACATTGGTTAATAAATTGTAGGGTTTCAGGTGCATAATTCTTTTTTAAAATTTTATTTATTGATTTTAGAGAAAGAGAGGAAGGGAGGGAGAGAGCGAGAGCCAGAAAGAAACATGGATTTGTTGTTCCACTTATTCATGCATTCATGGGTTGATTCTTGTACGTACTCTGACTGGAAATGGAACCTGAAACCTTGGCATGTGGGGATGTTGCTCTAACCAAGGAAGCTACCCGGCTAGGGCTCAGTGTACAAATCTATAACACATCATCTGTATACTGTATTATGTATTCACCATCCCAAGTTAAGTCTCCTTCCATTCAATTCCATGTTTTTTTGTTGTTTTTTTTATCCTCACCCAAGGACATTTTTCAATATTTTGTTCAGATAGAGTGAGAGGGAGAGAGAGAGAGAGAGAAACATCGACGACACATCGAGTGGTTGCCACCCACACGACCCAACGCAGGCCGACGCTCTAACCGCTGAGCCAAACCGGCCAGGGCAATTCCATGTTTTTTTAAGACCAGTTCAATGTTTACAAAAATTCTGATTGAGTTGCCATTGCTTCAAAATCAGATTTCACACACAAACCTAAGTTTCTGGCTTCTCTTGCAAAGCTAACCAACCTCCTGCAACCCTGGACTCAATTCCCAAATGGCCATATGGGTTGGCGCCCCCTCCTGTAGAGTACTCACCCTCCACAATCATTTGTACCACTTGTAGCTCACCCCTGTTGAGTTTACTGCTCCTGAAGAAATCAGTTAGCA